TTCGTCCGTACCTGTATAAAACTACGTGATTTTTTACGTAAAAATGTCTCTTGGTAAAAATCGCTACGAAGAATGGTTCTCAAAATATTTGGAATCAAAATTATCAATACCTGTCATCACTGGCATAAATTAAACATGTTGATTAAATAGGTATTAGACTGAAATCATAAATTTGAAATGATTTTGTGTCAAAAGTTTAACAGAAACTATTTTATCATAATTTTTTCGCAGAAAATTTATTATAATTCCCTAATTTATCATTTGAGTCAAATAACCAGTTATAAAACTATAAATTCAACAGTTCAAACACATGTAGGTGGAACCCCCTACAAATAGTAATCATATTGACAGCAAAATCAAATTTCTCATGTCAAAAAACACCCAGGCACCAATTTCCATCCAAATATTGACGTTACTTCAGAAATTATTTGAAAAAAATCGAAATATAAATGAAACTTCTGCACCCTGTATTTTCGAAATTAAGCAATTTAGTAGATACATTTATACAAACTTTTTATCTGCAAAATATGCTGCCTAAGTTTCCGAAATATAGTTCGGACCACCCTGTATAATTCAAACAGTAATCCACCTCTCCCTTAAATCAGGTATCGATTATAGGGTATAACAATATAATTTGACTCTATTGAATTATATTAAACACCGTTCTCTCCAACACCCCCATGGCTATAAACCACCAATTCATAACACTGCATAACAATGCTAAGATACCCGGCTTCAGTTAAGTATGCATTAATACCATTTAAACTTGTAAGTAAGGAGGAGATTTGGGGCATAACAGTAGCGCAATTTGGCGAAGGGTCTTACAAAACGAAAGAGGCAACTGTGGAAAGGGCAAATAAAGGAGGAAGCGAAGTAAAGGGGAATCACCGGCGTCTTGTTCTGCCAGAAGTCGGTCCAGGAGCGAAATTATCGAAACAGACGACAGATGGCAGCGAGATATCTGAGAAAGGAGAAGAATACGAGCTAGAGAAACACGGAAATTTGGAATAGAGTCGGGCAGGTTAGGAAAAAGTGGCGTCGCTGCGCTGGCTCGGAATAGATTAAATTCCTTGAATTTTTTAGAAGAAGAATCTTGGAAAAAAATCTATAAAACGCGAGAACTACGTTTGGGTGGAATGTTTTAAATATTTTCAATTTAATTTTGTAATATTACACTGATTACAAAAAAATTCTGGCAGTTTTGCCACTGTAATAAAATCTACAAAATAAAATTGTATATTGTTTCATTAGGTACATTACAGGAACACACACATTTCGACCGAAGAAAACATATCACCTAAATTGATAGTTGGTAAATTGGTTTTACTACTAAAAAGCTACAGTATATAATATTTATAAAAATAATAATTGTACAGGGTAGGTCAAATTCGACGCTTTTAAATGCAAACACCTTTTTCTATAGGAGATAGATAAAAACTAATATCAGTGTCTGGAGCTCAATTTTTGTCAAAAACATGATGGTGAAAACCGCATATCGATATCTGTTACCGTTTCGGAGTTACGAGGTATTTTTCAAAAATATGCATTTTTAACAAATCGCTGTAACTTTTTTGCTATGGAAAATTTTGTATTTTTATGAAAACATTTCCAAAGCACCTTTTTACGTAGAATTTAATGGTTCAAGTATAATTTCTTTTAAATTAATAATTTAAGAATTATCAACAGAAAATTTGATTTTTTATATGGGACACCCTGTATATTTTTAATTTATTGAAAAGAATTTAAAATTACCTTTCAAAAAATATAACACACTTGATATTTCGCTCGATTCCTCTTCGAGATATAGAGTATATAAAAATTCGCCCGCTGTAAATAAGTAGGCTTTAAACGGCACCGGCTGTAATGCAAAAAAGTTCTGGCTGTATCAATTAAAACGAAAATAATATTAAAATATATTTAACCAACAATAATATATTTTAAATAACAATTTAAAATATATTTAACCAACATCAACACATTTAAACTATATCTAATAACAATAAAAATAAATAGCAAACCAAGACATGATATTTTGCTACAGGCGTTCGACATATCGACCGTCTTCTGTTATGGACAGACGGGGTAGTTTTTGAACATTTCTCGCGGAATTCATTAACTCAGTGAGGGTAAAAGATACCCTATCAGAACTGCTAAGTATTTCTAATTATTGTCTAGATTATACGGAAGAATAAGGAACATTTATTCTTCTGCAAATATATCCATAGGATTAGATCCATGGGCATTAAGTCAGGCGGCTTCGACGGCCAACGGCTGGGATCTTGGTTAGCTATTCAATTATTCTTGAAATTAGCTGCAAAAAATTTGCTGATAACTTCAGCGTTCAGAGGCGGTGCGTCGTCTTGCCGGAAAAATATGTTTTCCAGTTCCATTAAGGGCATATCATCAATAAGGGGTCCAAAGCCTAGTAGTTAAAAGTGGCGAACTTTTAAAACTTCTGTATTTGGAAGGGGATTATAACAAAATATCAAGTGTGCTATATTTTTGGAAAGGTAATTTTAAATTCTTTTCAGTTAATTAAAAATATAGAGGGTGTCCCAAATAAAAAAATCAATTTTCCTGTTGATAACTCTTAAATTATTAATTTTAAAAAAATTAAAGTTACCATTAAATTCTACGTAAAAAGGTGCTTTGGAAATGTTTTCATAGAAATACAAAATTTTCCATAGCAAAAAGTTACAACGATTTGTTAAAATGACATTTTTGAAAAACTCCCCGTAACTCCGAAACGGTAACAGATATTGATGTGCGGTTTTCACCATCATGTTTTTGAAGAAAATTGAGCTCCAGACACCGATATTAGTTTTCGTCTACCTCCTATAGAAAAGGGTGTTTCCATTTAAAAGCGTCGAATTTTACCCACCCTGTACATTTTGTAAATAAATCTAAACAAAACGAACGAAATCATATATTAATAACTAAATACCTTTAAAATATTTGTTTTCACACTGCTTAAGAACATTTATAGTTGTCTTTTATAGGTGTTGTTCAATAATGCGATCTGACCAAAGTTTTGTCTAATATACCACATTTTATAACTTAAATTATTCGAATGAATTGAATGGAATAAAAATAATAACTAGTATAATTTTAGATAATATGATACGCATATTTTTAACATAACTTATTTAAGACTCACCCTGTATAGTTCTGGTTAATTATGTTTATATGATAATGTATGAAAAGAAATTTACGAGAATTTTAATGTGAAAATAACTAGTATAAATAAACTCTTTTTTACACTTCAAGCTATCCGATTATAATACTAAAAATGTATTGTTTAAAATTATACATAATATATTATTTTTCGTACCTATACAGGGTGAGTTTTAAAAAAGGGCAAATATTTTCAGGGCTGATAAATCTCGATAAAAGAAACATATTTTCTCTTTATCGTTTTTCAATTAAGACCAAAATAATGGAGTTATTTTACTTACTAAATTTCCAAAAATAATGTTAAAATTTTGAGAACCACTGGATCATTTCTTGTAAATTTATTCGACTACTTATGTTGCCATATAATCAAGAAACTATGTTTTTAACTAAAACTAAAAAAAAATCAAAAATGTTTTCAAAATTTCAAATTTTCAATTTTTTTGCAAAAACTTATAATCGATGTCTCTGGGGTCGATAAATATTTAAATTTACTTAAGACTCACCTTGTATAAATGTAGGTATTTCAAAATCGTTTATGTATATATCAAATGTATTTTTTTATTTTCAAAAAGTAACGAAAATAATGTAACCTTTCCAAAGTTCTAAAAGTTTTTTTTCAAGACAAACTTAAATTTCTTTTTATACAAACTTCTCTTCAAAAGTTATAACAAAATGTTTAGTCTGGTATTCAAGTCCATTATTCCTTGATGTTTTAACTCAGTTTTCATTCCCCTTAATTTGAAAAAGAAACATTTTTTTCATGTGGGCGGTAATCCAAAAAAACTTGCTAATTATTTAATTTAACTTCTCCAAACAACAAAGTTTAAATACTTGGAATATTAAAAGTTTATAAGATTCTTTTTTAAGGGTTTCTTTAGCAGTATCATTAAAATTTAATTTTGTATTGTCTCACAAGGTATATAATTTAATTTAAAACGTCACCAAAGTATTAATTTTTTACGACGTGATTGACAATATAAAAAGTCATTTAACGCCTAGGCATAAAAGTAAAGCACTTTACGCCTCAGCCATAAAAATACGAAAATATATTATTAAACTGACATTCAGTGACAAATTCACCAAGTGTATGTTGCTCGATATATAATTACTAACAAAGTATTACTTTTTATATTATTTGCGACGTATTAAATTTTTGTTTATAATTAATTTAATTCTGAGTTTATGCTTAAAAAATTAAAAAAAAATAGAAAATTTGACCACCCTGTATCTGAAAAGTTCATAATACACAAATTTCTTTTTTTATTTCTCAATTACTTTCTAAATTAGTTTCTACTACCTACTAATGAAAAGCAGATAATAAAAAGAGAAAAATTAGGAAAATAACATATAATTTCGTCTGTCGTAGCCCTAATGATTGAGTATCGATATAGAAAAGAGTGGCTTATTTTTTATGCATTAAGTAATCACGAACATGTCATAAAATCTCGAGGCAAACATTGAAGTTTTCCGAAGGCTGTAATTCCTCGCGTGATACTTATAATAACGAAAACTCAATAACCTTTTCAAAGTTTTATCATACTTCCAGAACGTTTGCATAGCTAATTAACGGAAATTTTTGATTTCCACTGTTGTTTCAAATGCTTTATTGGTTTTACCGCACTTTAAGCAATTACTGGAAAAATAGTTTTAATGTTCGTTGTTTTATTACAAATTGTAATTATTATTGATTTGATTAGCCTCTAAATTAACCAGATTAACGTTTTGTTTATTATTTTTGTGTATACAGGGTGTTTCAAAACCCCCTGCCTTTTTATTTTTACCAGTGTTATAGTGTTTTATATAACTTTTATTTTATTTCTTTCTAGGTCGACCAATATCGTGGGCTATGCTGGCGCCATCTATAACACCTAAACGGACTCATAATGGACCCAACAATCCTGGTTTAAGAATTTATAAATTTGACAAAGACACCGGACAAGTAAGCCTTTTTTATAATATAGCTACGAGCCCTAAAAACTATATGTTGGGACAAGGTCATATTATGGAATTATTGCCCTGGTTTTCCAAAATGACTGAAAAATATATGTTTAATTTTTTAAATATAATCATAGCCATATATCCTAAACAACTTGACAATATTTTTATGAATTTGTAAATCAATCCATATTTACAGTAGCGGATTTTGTTCATAAAAGGACAAATTTGCTGACAACTAAATCTTGGGACGAATTTGGAAAGTATTTTTAAATAATTAATATCATCATAGGCGGCTTTGCTATAAACTTCACAAATGTCGCAAACTGTTTACTTCAGCATTGACAGCTTGTAAGTGACTCGATACTTTGAGTAGTGATATTTACTGTAAGAAATTTTAATTTTCTTAATTTTCAATTTTGTTAATTTAATCCAAAGTAATGGTCCGTGGAAAACCTACAAATCAAAAACTACGCGAAATTATCATTCGTCAATACAGTACGGGAAAAACAATTCGAAAATTTTCTGATGATTTCTGAAGTATTCCAAAAACCACGGTCTTTAATATAATAAAAAAAATACGGCGAATCTGCCAACGTAGACGTTAGAGGTAAAAGTTCGGGAAGGCCAAAAGTTGTATCTCAGAGAGATTTACGAAATTTAGTAAAAATTTGCAAGTCTGCGAGAGGAAGTACTCATCGCGAAATAACATTTAAATGGAATACTGTAACTGGTTTAAATATATCAAGAGAATGTTGCCGAAAATATATCCACAAATGCGGTCTGGGGTTTTACAAGGTAAACTTTATTTTGTGTGGATAATCAATTACCTGAAGATTATTGATACAAATTCATATTTAGGCCAAAGAAAAACCGCTACTAATAGAAATTCAAAAGAAAAATCGCTACACTTGGGCAAAATCTAAATTATCGTGGACACAAAATGATTGGAATAAGGTCATATTTAGCAATGAGTCTAAATTTGATGTTTACGATGGAGATCATCGAAAACGAATAATACGAAATAAAGCAGAAGCCTTTCATAAAGATTGCTTAAAGAGGGTTGTTAAATTTCCTAAGGAGATTATGGTTTGGGGTTGCGTGTCAGGAAGAGGTTTGCACAAATTAAATTTTATAGATGGCACTGTTAACGCCTAAAAATATCAACATATTCTTGAGACCTCACTTTTGCCTAGTGCTCAAGAATTGTTTCCAAACGAAGACTATATTTTCCAACAAGATGGAGCATCGTGCCGTTCAGCAAGATCAACTAAGAATTGGTTTGGTAATAATAATATAAAAGTTCTATCCCATCCTTCAAGTAGTCCGGACCTCAATGTTGTAGAAACTGGGTGGCATAAAATGAAGCAATATTTAAGAAACCACCCTCAACGAACAATTTTTGATTTGCGGATAAAACTGCAGAAAATTTGGGATAATTTTTCTCCTGAAATGTGCCAATCTTTGGTAAATACAATGCCATTAAGAGTTCAGGCAGTTGTTAAGGCGAAAGTTGTTTTAACTCCGTATTAAACAAATTTCTTGTTGTGCTGTCCCAATATATAAAGTTATAAAAATATAGTAAAATTGTCTAGATCATATTGTAATGTTTGAATTTAGAATAATAAACAAAATAAATTGAGTCGTTTTAACAAATTACTATTTTTATTGCAAAAAAAGACCTTGTCCCAACATATAGCTGTTAGGGCTCATATAAGGAAAATAAAATATAATAATTGTCACTATACTTATATACTTACGTCCCTAATATTAGATACTTGGTAGTCTACAGGCTGTTATCTTAACTTTGGATTAAATGAATTTATATGGTAATAAACTTTCTTCCATTTGTATATGCTTTTCCTAATTGGAAACCGGAAATACTGACAAGATCTATAATTAAAGAGACGCAAATGATAGAATATACTTAAATAATCCTGACATAAACCTATCATTATACAAAGAGTCATTAATATGTGTGCCTGTCTCCCAGGTTACAGCCTAAAGCAGGAAAATCAAATCACACTCCCCTTCATTTAAATAATTATTTTCCTTGGCAGAAACAACAATATCCCCAAAAAAATAATTATTAAAGTTCGGTAAAAGCTAAAATGATTAAAGTTACAATACAATTATTAAAATTTACATTTATGGCATTTATATACAAATATGGCAATATCATACACAATACAATTGTATCCAAAACACACATAAGGTGATTAAAAAATACTCAATTATTTAAAAAGATCGGTTTTATCTAAACAGTATGAAATATGACATTGTACAGATCATACCAAATAAACTTTTAGTCTCGTGATTAAGCTTGACCGGCACAGCACTTTTACATATTTTGTTTTAATCAAAATATTTTAGGAAATAATAATATATTAATTATAAATATCACTTACAGGACATACAGGGCCATTACTACCGCTTTCCCGTTCAAAATATTCTAATACGGTTGCTTAAATGAGTTTTTTACAACGGCTATTAAGCTGCTGCGGCATCTTGTACACTTCGCACTAAAAGCGGTTTTAAAGAGAACAATGTTCGACTGCAAGATCTACTAGTAAAAAGTATCACAACACAATTCATTTAAATCAAAAACTCATAATACAAAACTAAGGTCAGGAAGTAAATAAATACATGTGGCAACTTGACATTTTTTACAGCGGAGCTACCACCTAAATCGCCAGCGGGAAATTTAAATTCCAGTTAGTCAGCCCGGCGCCGAATATATCGATGGTTGGCAACAATAAATTTAAAAATCGCATCCTCGATGACGCAACTAAAACTTAAACTGGTATCGCTTATACTACTACTCTGTGCAATTAAAGGTACATTCAGGCTGCGAGCGTCGAACGTCGCGTCGCGTTTGCGTCGCGTCCGCCCCATTGAACTCGAACCCCGACGCTCAGCAGACGCTAGCGCAACGCCAAACGCGACGCTGTCTGCCTGAACGGTCTAATTTAAGTGAATTGATTCCATTTGGACACGCGGACGCGACGCTCGATGCTCTCAGCCTGAATGTACCTTAACTTTTACAGTATTCGTTTCAAAATTCTGGACTTGGCTCCTTTGCTGACTAGTCCATACACATTTCACTCATACAGTAACAGTTGTGATTTATCGGACTTATAACGTGAACATCTATTAAATTATATCATTATTATATTATAAAGATGTATTTTATGTAACTCGTATAGAACACCAAGCATTTTCAAGTTTCCTTAAACAGGAAATTAGTTTATCTCGTTCCCTTCGCTTGTGTTTCTCACTTTCCAGATAACAGCACTGTTCCTGTGCGAGTGTTTGTGTTGCACGTGTGTATAGAATCTAAATATTGTACCGAAGTGGGTTTATAGGTGGGGAAATCCGTTCTAAGCGGCACTGTTAAGCGCGATAACCCGAAGAGATGCTTCCTCCGTTATTATTAAAGGCAGTTAGCTTAAGTTTGAATTGGAAATGGCTTAAATGCGAAAACGGAATAAGATTTTGGCACGACGTTCTGGCGGAAACAGCACAACATACGGAGAATAACAGTTATTTTATTGTAACTTTGTCGAGCATAATATTTGGTTGGCAAATTGAAATGAAACATTCTGTTTAATAGTTAGTCAAAAATAGCAATATTTATGTAAAGTTTTCTATGCAAAATTCATGTTTCAAACATTAATTTTAAAATGTCATTGTATGCGATATTCACGAATTTAACTTGATTCATATACGAATTTAACTTAACAACCTATGAATAAATAAATTAAGGAAGGAGCATATCAAAAAACTTAGATCCACTGCGGTGGGACTCAAATATGGCCGACTAAAATTCCGGTTTATCAGTGCCGTTCTAATTTTATTTAAAAAGTGTAAAACTATGAGGTAGGGTAGATTTGGGGGAGACTCAATAATTTGTTGTTTTATTTTACGGTTGGTAGTTATTAAAATTGTTATAAAAATATATAATTCTAATAAAAATAGATAGATTATGATAATTATCTATTAACACAAACATCCGATACACAGTAGATCTGAAGCAGGTAAGTCAAATTGACGTAACTAAATTCTTTGACATCTAATCTTTGACAAGTAGTAAATAAAAGCAAAAATGCAAGAAAAAATATATAATTAGTTAATTTAAGTGAATTTCATGAATGATAGGTTTAATACAAGTATGTATATTATATAGTCACTTACTAGCCAAAAATTATTCCATCATTTCACTCGATTTTTGACCGAGATCTACCGCACGCTACACAACTAACTATTTTACAGTCTTTCTCGATAAATCGCAATAGTTTCACTATTAATATAAGTTCTGCCACAATCTTCATCTAGATTTATTACCTTTACACAAGTATCAGTAGTAGAATAAATAATAAATAACATAAAATAAGCTCAGTAAAGACTGACAAATCCACAAAATTTCAAATCAAATTCAAATGTCAAAACTGTCAAGGATCCCCACCCTAGAGTCCTTTTTCCGCCCACCGTACATGAGTATATGGATATAGTCTATAAAATGAATAACTTTGAATTTTAACCCTTATTTTTTACCAACATGGCAAATATAAAATCCCTCTGTCAAAAAAGTTACTGATATTCTTTAAATTGAGTGCCTGAACGAATCAGATAAGTATAGGATATCTCTTTTTACTTTCGTGAAATAGAAAAAGAAAATAATAAAACAAGTGACAGTTCTTCCTCTTCTTGCAAAAATCAACACTACAACGTCACATAATTGTCAAAAGTAAAATGTCATCAGCTTTTGACATTTCTAAATATCAGACCAATGCCATCTCTAATAGAACAGCCTCGGAGCGAGATTTATGACGTCACGCTAGTTAGATACTACGGATTAATAAATATGTTGTAGAATTCATGGAAAACATAATTATTCCTCGTATTTTTGGTTATACTAAAACGTTTTTTTACCAAAAAAAAATAATGAAAAACCAAATGAAAACTTAAAAAGCGTTTTTCCCGAACCTAAATCCCAAGAAAATC